CGCAATCCAAGGGACATGGGTCTGCAGGGAAGGGAAGTTCAAGCACGTTCCCAGGTACAGAAGGCGAAGGGGTCTGAATCTTGAACAAAAAAAGGGGGGGTATTTTCTTGCACTCGCGCACCCACCCTCACGGACCACACTCGTGCACCCACCCACACTCTGAGCACACTGAGCGTGAGAGCAAGAGGTGGGAATAAAAAAGGCGAGAAGCGAGCATGGAGGCTGAAGAAAGGAATGATGGAGGCGAGAAGCAAGACGGTGAGAAGCAAGAGCCGAGGGTGAAAATGATGAGGTGGATGCATGCGAGTGGGAAGCAATGGAGGAGAAGAATGGAAGGGTGGAGGTTACTAAGAAAGAAGAAAACGCCCAGATTGAGCAGCAACAGGTGGGCCTGACTAAGAGGTGCTTGTATTGAAATGCGTGAGAGCACAGGTCACAGATGATGATATTCAGCCACCGCTCGCCACCGCTAACTCGCTCATCTGCACTCACTCGCTCGCCACCATCACTCACTGAAGCACGTCTTGTCGGTATAGTTGTAATAACCTTTGCCATCGTTGCACACGCAGTAAGGAGTGCCATCACGATACAGAGTGCAGTGAGCACTGGACCCGCACTCATAGGTGGCACACGCGTCTGCAGAGGGGATTCGTGGGCGTTGGGAACAAAAGGCATCAGCTTTTGAGTCGACGCAAAAGTGCACAAGCAGTACGGAGTGCCATCGCGATACAGAGTGCAGGAAGCACTGGATCCGCACTCATAGGTGGCACACGCGTCTGCTGGGCGGCACGTTTGGAACAAAAGGCAGCGGGCGAGGGCGGTTGAAAGAAAGAAATAAAGGGTCATAAGTTGCGACGTTGCACTTGCTCACCAGCCTTTTAGTTCCAGCACATTATAAATCAGATTCTACGTGAGAAACAGGGGTAGAGACGCATGAAGGAGCAATGGGGCAGGAAATTCGATGGTCAAAAGCATGAAGGAGGAAGAGAGTTTGAAGCACGGGCGGTCAGTACTCACCATCAGCGGCGCTGGCGTGGGTCACGAGGAAGCTTATGGCAACGAGACCCGCGACGAGTGCGGCGAGGCCACACAGGCCGGACAGTCGGTCGTAGCGCTCCATCACGACGGGAGAGGAGACGGCCGCCGGGAAAACGCGGAGACGGGGATCAGCGATCACGCGCAGCTTCGGCTTCTTTCACGTCCGAGTTGACGTGTCGTGCCGTGTCGCGGCCCAAGTCGCTGGTGCTAGTCGCGACGGCAGAGCCCCGCGGCTTGCAAGCGCTGGTTGATGAGAATGGGAGGGACCTCGAAAGGAGGGATCTCGAAGGTGGGACTCAGAGAGGAGACGCAATGACAGTGAGAAGCTGTGTGAGATGAAGATCAGAGGAAGGGCGACTTGTGAGTGAGGCTTCGGGAGTGGGCTTCGATTTATGTGCTGAGCGGTGGATAACTCTCGGGTGGATGATAATTCAGCTCGGGTGGATGATAATTCAACGCCGCGTTCCATTGCGGAAAGGAGGCGCCCCCAGCGGCCGTGCGCATCAAGGGGGTGCGCTTAGGGAAATCGCCGCTGCGCCAAGCCGAGCAACGTTTGTCTTGGGATTGCTCGACCCTAGGATGGTGCGGCATCTGCTGTGGGAACCTAGTCCTCGTGATTGGCGCAACGGGCAGGAGTCAGTGTGGGGTGTGTTAGTTATTCCCACCATGATGGCCGCAAGGGGGGGGAACAGCGGTAGGGAGGAACGCGATAGGAAGGAACGCGGTATTACGGAGGAACCGATCGGCGGAACGGGAGAGCAGTGACGCTGGTGGCGGCGATGGCGGGAGGGACGCGAGGCCCTCCCGGAAAGCGTCGAGAGACTCGCAGTGGTGCGCAAGGCCGGATGGCTTCCGCCTCTAGTACTGCTTGTGCGCCTGTGCACACGCAACAGGGTCCTTGGATCAGCTGCGGCTGCGAGACTTGCGGAAGAGAGAACATGGCAGGCGAACGCGTTTCCTGCGATGGAAATTCGACGGCGAACAAACGCGTTCAGCCTATTTCCGAAGGCGAATGTGTGGGGTGTGGATGGACATGCCAAAGGTGAAGCTCGGTATCTTTCTGCTCAGGAGTGTAACACTACAAATTTCACAATTCTTGACTCCATGACTCAAGCTATACCGTTGTATATATTATGGTATTGTAATCCTCGTTTTAAGGCTCTAAGTACTGCAATAAGGGTCACAATTATTGAAAGTTCGTAATAAAAAATCGTGCTGGAATGATCGAAAGGTTTTTTTTAGTAGCCCTAGGATATGGCAACAGGCGCACCTGCTCATACCGCACATGCGCCCTCACAACTATCGCGTTACACTCATATCATTACTATTAACAATTATGGATTTTACTGGAAAACGAAACGTTTACCTATCCAACACTGTAACCCATTCCATTACCCTGGCGTTGATGTGTAGTTTCTAATATGTATTTTCATTATGAGATTTTTCATTACACCATTAACAATCGTCATCGGACATGTTAAAATCACGCTCATCGTCAATGTCGTCCGAGACCGAAATGTCTTGCATTTTTCCTTACCCTTTCCCTCACACGGTTTGACAGGGGCAGGAATTTTCGCCTCGTGTCTGTTGTATAAGCATGCACTCTCACTTACTGAGATTGCATCCAACTGAATATGCTGCTTTGACAGGCCTGAGAGAGGGAGAAGAAAGGATGGGGAAGACAAAAAATGAGGACGAATAACGACAGTCGCTCCATTCACACTTTACAAGGCATGCACCAGTCTACACAATATGGCGGACTGAACCACACATCACGTAGCATGCATCACGCTCACACACCTTTTCGTGGCGGGGTAGGCACGGCCCTTCTTCGCAGGACGTGTATGGTCAGGCCCTGCTGGCCCGTGCAGCCCCGACCAGAGTAAAACGTCAGGCTCTTGCACATGCCGTTGCCGTTGCCGTTGCCGTTGCCAACCCTGGCCTTAGGGGCATCCCACGTGACGGTGATCTTGGCGTTGCCGATTCTGGAGCTCAGGTCGCTGCACACGGTGGTGCCGCTGGCCTGCTCTGCCGGCACCGAGGTGGAGAAGGTGAGGCGCTCCTTGATGTTGCGCCCACTCAGCTGCACCGCCGTCTGCACCAACGGGCCTGAACGGCCGTTACGGCAGTTGGCACAATGATTGATGTGACGATGCCGTGGCCGGACGACAAAGGTGGGGAAAATGGGGGCTTGTAAACGTTGAGTTGCAGGTGGGACAGGGGAAAGGAGAGGAAGAGGGTAGACAGGGGGGAAGGTGCGGAGAAGTGAGGATACGAAAACAGCTCGGCAATTTGCCTCGCAGTGATGTCTGCAGAACTGCGTGCGCATAGAGAAATGTATCGTCTACACCTCGGCGGGGGAGCACTCACCAAAGCACGTCTTTTCAGGCTCGTTGAAGAGAAAAGCAACCATGTTGCACTCGCAGACAGGATCGGTCCCATACGCAATGCAGGTTGCATCGGAGCCACACTCCTTGCCAGAGACAACACACAGGTCTGCGAGAAATTCATGGGCGGTTCCGAGGTGGGTGGGGCAATGGGCTAAGACGAATGAAACTCTTGCTTATGGTTGTGAACTCACCCCCACTCGCACACTCACCACCCCCACTCGCACACTCACCCCCACTCGCGTCGCACACTCACCCTCACTCGCATCGCACACTCGCTCCCACTCGCACACTCACCCCCACTCGCACACTCAACCCCACTCGCATCACACACTCACCCCCACTCGCATCGCACACTCACCCCCACTCGCATCCCACACTCACCCCCACGCGCACACTCACCCCCACTCGCATCGCACACTCACCCACACTTCAGTGAACTAGTGGGAAGGGAGAAGAAGAATGGGAGGGTAAAGGCTAAGGAAGAAAAAGCAACGGTTCACTTCGGGCAGCGATAGCTGATTCTAGCTTAGGAGCTCACGAGTAAGATTCAACCACTCAGTCGATACCACATTTGACTCACTCCCATGCCAAACGTGCACTCACTCGCTCTCTACCTCTCACCGTAGCATGTCTTGTCCGTTTTGTTAAAGGTTTTACCACCGTAGCAAAAGCACTCAGCAGGGCTGTTGGGGACAGGAGCCATGTGCACGCAACCAGCATCTGACCCGCGATCCAAATTGGCACACGCGTCTGCAGGGAAGTACAAAAAAGGGGGTACAAGATTGAACTTTGAACAGGAAAAGGGGGTATTTTCTTGCACTCGCTCACCCACCCTCACGCACTCACCCACACTCGCGCACCCACCCACCCACACTCGCGCACTGTGAGCACACTGAGCGTGAGAACAAGAGGTGGGAATGAAGAAGGCGAGAAGCGAGAAAGGTGAGGGTGAGCACGCAGGTGGGAAGCGAGGCGGGAGAAAGCTCCGAAGGAAGGAAGAAAACGGCCAAATCGAGCAGCAACAGCTGAGTCTGACTTAGGGGCAAGTTTACTGAACGCGTGAGAGCACGGGTCACTGATAATACTCAGCCAGTCAGGCGATACCACATTTGATTCGCTCATCTGCACTCACTCGCTCATCTGCACTCACTCACTCGCTCGCCTCAAGACCACTCACCATAGCACGTCTTGTCTGTTTCGTTGAAGTTGCTGGTACCATCGTCGCACAAGCAGTAGGGAGTGCCATCACGATAGAAAGTGCAGGAGGCACTGGACCCGCATTTGATGCCGGCGCATGAGTTTGCTGCGCGAATTCACGCACGGACGTTTGGAAACGAAAGGCAGCAGGGCAGGGCAGCAGGGCAACAGGGCAGCAGGGCAACAGGGCAGCGAACAGGGCAGCAGGGAAGTAGGGCAGCAGGGCAAGGGGGGGTGACAATGGAAAAGAGTCATTAGTTGCGACCTTGCACTTGCTCACCAGCCTGACAATTAAAGCACACAGTACACCAGTTGCTATGTGAGGAACAGGATGAGAGACGCAAGATAAATAGGAGCAAAAGGGTGGGAAAGACGATGGTGGGAAGCATGACGGAGGATGGCGCGATGGTGGGTGCGATGGTGGGTGCGATGGTGGGTGCGATGGTGGGTGCGATGGTGGGTGCGATGGTGGGTGCGATGGTGGGTGCGATGGTGGGTGCGATGGTGGGTGCGATGGTGGGTGCGATGGTGGGTGCGATGGTGGGTGCGATGGTGGGTGCGATGGTGGTGGGTGCGATGGTGGGTGCGATGGTGGTGGGTGCGATGGTGGTGGGTGCGATGGTGGGTGCGATGGTGGGTGCGATGGTGGGTGCGATGGTGGGTGCGATGGTGGGTGCGATGGTGGGTGCGATGGTGGGTGCGATGGTGGGTGCGATGGTGGGTGCGATGGTGGTGCCATGGATGGTGGGTGCGATGGTGGGTGCGATGGTGGGTGCGATGGTGGTGCCATGGATGGTGGGTGCGATGGTGGGTGCGATGGTGGGTGCGATGGTGGGTGCGATGGTGGGTGCGATGGTGGTGCCATGGATGGTGGGTGCGATGGTGGGTGCGATGGTGGGTGCGATGGTGGTGCCATGGATGGTGGGTGCGATGGTGGGTGCGATGGTGGGTGCGATGGTGGTGCCATGGATGGTGGGTGCGATGGTGGGTGCGATGGTGGGTGCGATGGTGGGTGCGATGGTGGGTGCGATGGTGGGTGCGATGGTGGTGCGATGGTGGTGCGATGGTGGTGCGATGGTGGTGCCATGGTGGTGCCATGGATGGTGGGTGCGATGGTGGGTGCGATGGTGGGTGCGATGGTGGATGCGATGGATGGTGCGATGGATGGTGCCATGGATGGTGCCATGGATGGTGCCATGGATGGTGCCATGGATGGTGCGATGGATGGTGCCATGGATGGTGCCATGGATGGTGCCATAGATGGTGCCATGGATGGTGCCATGGATGGTGCCATGGATGGTGCCATAGATGGTGCCATGGATGGTGCCATAGATGGTGCCATGGATGGTGCCATAGATGGTGCCATGGATGGTGCCATAGATGGTGTTCAACCATCAGTCAGCCGACTCACCATTTTCAGCGGCGCTGCCGTGGGTCGCGAGGAAGCTGATGGCAACTAGACCCGCGACGAGTGCGGCGAGGCCACACAGGCCGGACGGTCTCCCGGAACGCTCCATCACGACCGGAGGGGAGACGGCCGCTGGGGAAACGGGGAGACGGGGAACCAGGGATCAGCGATCACACGCTACGCGGTGACTTTTAAGTCGACGTAGGAGACGGGAGTCGGGGATCAGCGATCACACGCAAAGTCAGAGAGCTTTGGCTTCTTTCACGTCCGGAGTTGACGTGCCGTGCCGTGCCGCGGTGCACTGGGCACGTGGCTGATGCTAGTAGTCGCGACGGCAGTTCCCGCGGCTTGCAGGTGCTGGCAGGTGAGAATTCTCGGAGCGACGTGGGACCTCGAAGGTGGGACTGAGAGAGGAGGCGAGATGGAGAGGCACGCAATGGCAGCGAGAAGCTGCGTGAGAGGAAAGGGCGACTTGTGACTGCGGCTTTTGGAAGCCGCGGGCTTTGATTTATGTGCTGAGAGCAAGATGGCATTCCAGGCTTCGAAACAAAACAGCTTCCGAACAAGTTTGGTCGTCTCGCACACTTCCAAATTCGTGGTTCCGAACAAACAGTTCGCGCTTCCAGATCTCAATGTCGGTGCTCGTCGCGCGCGTATTTTACAGTTCTCATCCAGTAACAGGATTTTGCGATCGCCTGACACGTCAGAAAACTGACGACCTGATCGGGTCTTTCTGCCCGAAACGAAAATATGAGTGGTGGATTAACGCCGCGTTCCATCGCGGATTTCTGCCCGCGCAGCGGCAGTGCGTAGCACGGGATGTGCTTAGGGGGATCTCCGCAGCTCGGCAACGTTTGCCTTGAAACTGCTTGACCCTATTCGGCCTCTGTCGTGGGGACACAGTCCTCGGCGATCGTGTTGGTAGCTATTCCCACCATGATGGCCGCAAGCGGGAGGAACGCGGTAGGGAGGGTTCGCGATAGGGAGGAGCCGATGGAGGAACGCGAGAGAAGTGACGGCTGAGGAGGGCGGGGACGACGGGAAGGACATGAGACTTTCCTGGAAAGCGTCTCACGGCAGAGTTCCCCCAAGGCGGAATGGCTTGCCTGAACTGGGTCCAACTGTGAGACTTGCGGAAGAGAGAACACGGCAGACGCGTTCAGCTTCAGCAATTTCGATGGTGAATGTGTGGGTGGGGTATGGATGGACAAGCCAACGGTGAAGCTCGGTATCTTCTTTATTCATGAGTGTAACACTATTAATTTCACAATACCATACATCAACAGCAGGGCCCAAAATTGGTTCAGGCCCACCCTGACAAATCAGGGTTCCAGGCCCCCCTTACCCTGACCCGTAGGGTAATTTTTTTCGTACCCTGATGGCAGCAGGGTAAAATGTTCGTTACACTGATTTTACCAGGGTATTTTAGTAGTGAGCCTGTTTTCAATGCAGGTTGTTCAACTCTGTAAGGAGCTCGAACCTCACCTTGCCTCGTAAGGACCGATTCCCTCTCACCGCAGGAAGTGCATGGCTGTTACTCCAGCTCCAGCACCCCCAGAACTAGCACCTCCAGCGCCAGCACCTCCAGCTCCAGCACCCCCCAAACTAGCACCTCCAGTGCCAGCACCTCCAGCTCCAGCACCCCTCAAAAGAGCACCCCCAGAACGAGTACCTCCAGTGGCAGCACCTCCAGCTCCAACACCCCTGGAGTCCACAGTAACCTGTTGCGGAAATGCCGAAGGCTGCCGAGGGGACTGTGAGGAGGAATGCGGGGAGGGAGACGCTACCTGACGCGCGACCGAGGGTAGAGGAGTAGCGTGAGACACGCCTGAAGGGGCAGGACCAAGGGGGGGCGGGGGTACCGGAGGAGCGAGAGCAGGAGGCGGAGAGGGTGCGAGGAAAAGGGGAGGAGGGGGAACCGGGAGACCTCGACAGGGGTAGCGAGCGTAGTAGGACACTGACTCGTCAAACCGGACGTCAAGGAAGTCTAGGAACTGGTGGAGGGGCGGGTGGTAAAAGGCGTAGTCGGGAGAGTCCACCGAGAAACAAACGAAGACACAGGGGATGGCGCGAGCCGAGAGCTTGTCCGCAGAGGTGTTGCAGACAAGCGCAAGGCAGCCCCAGACACGAAAGGCCGACCCAACACCAGGGTACCCGGTCCAAAGGCTAGTCGGTGAAACCTCTGGCCGCGAGACACACGGCTGGAGGTTCAGCTGGTGGGCGGCGTAGCGAACCGCGTAGGGCCACAGAAAATGGGGCGCACGGGCATGGATCATGGACGTGCGGGCGATGTCCATGACCAAGCCAATCCGGCGCTCAGCAACCCCATTCTGCTGTGGGGACTCCGGAAGCGTCCAGGACTGTGAGATGCCCTGTTCGCCGCAGAATCCGCAAAGAATGCCGAAGCGAAACTCGCCCCAACGGTCGGAGTGGAGTCAGGAGACACGAGTGGCACGAGTGCCCTCAGTGGCCAGAAGCCACCAGATCGGGGTAGAAGTCACCTTGGACTTCTTCGCGAAAGGAAACACCGTGGTGTACCTGGAGTAGTCGTCGACGACCACTAGAAAGTAGCGGCCGACGACGCAAGGAGTACACGGTGGTGCAGGCGAGGGAGGGAGCGACGCAAAGACGCACGGGAGACCTGAGACAAGACTGTCACTAGCCATGCTGCGGAGGCGGGGGATCGATGGGTGGCCAAGACGGTGGTGCCACAAGACGGTCGGGTGGGTGAGGGACCAACAGGAGCAAGACGCAGCAACCTGACCAGACACAGCAACCTGACCAGACATAGCGACCTGAGGGGATGCAGCGACCTGAGTGGACGTAGCTACCCGAGAGTGCTCGGTGTGGAGGACGAAGAGACCGGAGCATGGCTCCTTGGTGAACGTGGCCAGAACAGCACCAATGACAGCGTCCGTACAAACCGCAGTCCTCCCACCCCCAACAAAGGTAACAATGATCCCTCTGTCCTGGAGGTATCCAACACCCACCAAGTTCCCAGTGAACGAGGGGATGTGGAGACCGCGCAGGACACCAGAGGGGACCACAAGGCACGGGAGGGTGGTGGAGCTGCGCGCAACGGCTGGTCTTGAGGAAGGATCAGCCAGAGCTACAGGAACAGGAGCAAGGAGCGGTGTGAGCGTCGTGTGGTCGCGAAAGAAGCACTAAGACGCGCCAGAGTCCAGCGTGAAGGACAGGGACGCCTCAGCCAGAGGCGCACCTGGTCTGGTAGCTACACAAGCACCTAGAGCAGCAACACACGCACCTAGACTAGAGAGGCACAAATCTACTCTAGCAACAGGCAAAAATCCTAGTCTAGAAACATGCGAGCACACACATCCATCAGCACTATAGTAAACATCAGCATACAAAGCATACTGAAGAGCCTCATCCATAGTCAGATCAAATACAGGAATCTTACGAGCTAGCAGCTGTGCCCAGCGCGGGGCGCGCGCCTCAGTACCGTAACGTGCATGGTAGAGGTCGTCGAGGCGGCAGAAGCACCGCACTGTAGAGTGGTCGTCGCGGCCGCAGACACAAGGACTGCCGGGTCCGGTGAGGCACCAGTGGTCGCAGGGGCCGGAGTCGCGCCGAGGGGGGCGAGGGCCCCAGCTGGTGGTACTGGTGTTGCGGCCAGTGCTCCCTGGTCCTCTAGGTCCCCACTGTGGCGGGGGGCCCCAGTGCTGCTGCGGACCCCACTGCAGTGGGGACCCCCACAGTTGAACCTACTGCGGCACCTGCCGCTGCTGCTGTTCCTGTCAGAACATTATAGCTCATGCATATTGTGTAGGCTATAGTGGGGTAGCCCATAAGGGGTACAACCCAATTAGGGTTATTACTTGTACTCAATTCATTCATAGTTCATTCCTTCCTTGTTTCTTGTCATGGTATCGAGCAGGTTCCCCCGTGGGAACTGTTCCTAGGGCCCACCGTTTTTTTTTTCCTGCCCGGAGCGCACTCAGCCCCTGCCCGAGTCGCGCTCCCCTCTCTCGCGCCGCCCTAGCGGCCCCTTAGCGCCGCCCTCGCGGCCCCTTCGAGCCGCCCTCGCGGCTCTATCCGCCGCCCTTCGCGGCCCCTACTCCGCCGCCCTCGCGGCCCCGATCCGCCGCCCTCGCGGCCCCGATCCGCCGCCCTTCGCGGCCCCGATCCGCCGCCCTCGCGGCCCCTTCTCCGCCGCGCTCGCGGCCCCTATCCGCCGCCCTCGCGGCCCCGCTCCGCCGCCCTCGCGGCCCCGATCCGCCGCCCTTCGCGGCCCCGATCCGCCGCCCTCGCGGCCCCGCTCCGCCGCCCTCGCGGCCCCGATCCGCCGCCCTTCGCGGCCCCGATCCGCCGCCCTCGCGGCCCCTACTCCGCCGCCCTCGCGGCCCCGATTCGCCGCCCTCGCGGCCCCGATCCGCCGCCCTCGCGGCCCCTTCTCCTCCGCGCTCGCGGCCCCTACTCCGCCGCCCTCGCGGCCCCGATCCGCCGCCTTCGCGGCCCCGATCCGCCGCCCTAGCGGCCTCCGGCCCCTGCTCCTACGGCCCCGGCGCCTGCTCCTACGGCCCCCGCGCCTACTCCTACGAGCAGCCCACCCGCCGAGCCGCCCAGCAACCGAGCAGCCCAGCCGCTGAGCCGCCGAGCCGCCCAGCAACCGAGCCGCCCAGCCGCCGAGCCGCCCAGCAGCCGAGCCGCCCAGCCGCCGAGCCGCCCAGCAGCCGAGCCGCCCAGCAGCCGAGCCGCCCTGCCGCCGATACGCCCAGCAGCCGAGCCGCCTAGCAGCCGAGCCGCCCCGCAGCCGAGCCGCCGAGCCGCCGAGCCGCCGAGCCGCCGAGCCGCCCAGCAGCCGAGCCGCCCAGCCGTCGAGTCGCCGAGCCGCCCTGCAGCCGAGCCGCCCGAACCGCCCTGTCCGGTAAGAGCAGCGCCTCTCTCACAGCACTGCCCTCACCCTACTGTTTGCACTGCTAGTCTACTGCTGTCATGGCTACCCCTAGTGTCCTCGCTTTTGACGCTGAGGGTCGGGCCATTGACTTTGACGTCTGGATAGATGACCTGCAGCTTTTCTTACAGTGCGAC